TGCACTTACACTACACAGGCACTGTACTTACACTGCACAGGCACTGCACCACACTTACACTGCACAGACACTGCACTTACACTGCACAGGCACTGCACCACACTTACACTGCAAGGTCACTTATGCTGCCTCCCAAGTGCTGGAACAATAGGAAAGCACCATCAAGCCCAGACTGGATATTTCATTTTTATTTTATTATTCCTTTTAGTTTTTTGAGATTTTTAAGTTTATATGTATGGGTGCTTGCCTGCATGCATGTCTCTACATCACATGCATCGAGTAACAGAGGAGACCAGAAGAGAGAGTTGGATCCCCGGGGACTGGAGTTACAGACAGTTGTGAGCCACCTGCATGGGTGCTGGGAATCAAATCTGGCTCTTCTGGGAGAGCAGCTGAAGCTCTTAGCTACCTTAGCATCTCTTCAGTCCTCTGGATGTTTAACTTTAGAGAAACAGTGATGGGGTAAGTCCTGTGTATATGTCAATAAAGCACTGTTGGCCAATAGGGAACCAAGATAGGTGGGACTAGGAGTCCAGGAGGACTCTGGGAAGGAGAAACACAGGGAGTCAAGATGTAACCGCCATGGGGTAGGAAGCCCAGAAAGTTCTTGGGTAAGGGAAATACTTAGATTAACAATTATGGGGTAAATACTTAAGTCAGAGCTAGCCAGTAAGAAACAAGCAAGGCCAACAGCTTCATAATTAATATAGCCTCCTGTGTGTTATTTGGGACTGATGCGGCTCTGGAACCAGGCTGGCAGGAAGGCTTCTCTTTACAAAACAGCTTCACTAGAAATTTGAACAGAGATCTCCATGCTTAGCAAGTAGTGACCCTGCTATGTGTTCAGTGCATTTCAGAGGAGACCATTTTCAGAATAGTTTAGGTTCACAGCATAGCTGGTGTCTTAGTTAGGGTTTCTATTGCTGTGAAGAGACACCGCGACCATGCCAACTCTTATAAGGGAAAACAATTAATTGGAGCTGGCTTATGGGTTCAGAAGTTTGGTCCATTATCATCATGGCAGGAAGCATGGCTGCTGGAGGAGCTGAGAATTCTACGTCTGGATAGGCAGGCGGCGGCGGCGGCGGGAAGAGAGACACTGAGACTGAATTTAAAGTCCCAGTGATGTACTTCCTCCCACAAGGCCGTATCTCCTAATCCCTGCCAAGGATCTCCACTCCCTAATGACCAAGCATTTACATATATGACGCTATGGGGGCCATTCCTATTCAAACCACCACAGTTGGGCAGGGGGTCCTCAATGTCTCTCCACTCCATAGCTTGCTTTTAGTGAAGAATAGTCTGTTGTTTGAAATGCTGACTGTTTTTACATCTAAAATTACTTTACAGGGCGTGCAAGAAACTAGAGGTGGTATATTAGTTACTTTTCTCATCTCTGTGACAAAATCCCTGATGAAGGCAACTCAAGGAAGAGTTGTTTAGCTCACAGTTAAAGGGTATTGTTCGCTGCAGTGGGGAAGATGTGGTAGCAGGAGCTGGGCAGCTAGCTGGTCACACTTTATCCGTAGTCAGGAAGCAGAGAGGTGAACGCTGGTCTTCAGTCAGTCTCTTTAGTCAGCCTGGGCCTCCAGCTCATGGAATGATACCACCCACATGCAGGGTAGGTTTTCCCATTTCAGTTAATCCTCTACGGAAGCACTCTCACAGGTGTACCCAGAGGCATATCACTTCAGTGACTAAATCCCTCAAGCTGACAGTCAGGATTAGCTAGAGTTGCAGAAGAATGTTATGCGGTAGTTTGCATGTAATTCTAGCATTCAGAAAACTGAGACAGTGGACCCCCAAAACAGAGTGTTAGATTATTCTACATTGGTAAGCTCTGGATTCAACTGGGAGGCTGGGTCTCAGTAAGGTGGAGAGTAACTGAGGAAGACTCTCCACATGCATTCATATGAGCACATACACACGTGTGTCCACACATAGACATACATCACAACACATATACACACTCACCATAATCAATCATCTATGGATCTATTTTTAGCCTCTATGCATTCCCTTTCTGATTTAGGAACACTGGATTTTTCTCTCTCCTTTTCTTTCTTGTGGGTTTATGGGTAGAATCTAAGGTTTACACATAATAGACAAGTGTCCTGTCCTGAGCAACTTCCCCAAACTTATACAGGCTTTTAATTCCTTGCATTGTTTTGTAGTTTTTAGAAATTTTGCACTTCTTTGATGGTTAGTATTCACGTATATGTGTGTGTGTGTGTGTGTGTGTGTGTGTGTGTGTGTGTGTTTCCGAGACAAGGGCAAGTCTCCTGCCTTCATTCCCTAAGTGTGAGATTCCAGACATGAGTTGCCATGCTTGTCTCTCAACTCTTTAATTTATTGCTGCATAACTTTATTACTTTGGAATTTATTATTAAATGGAACTATCTTATAATTTAATTTTTAGTTTGTTCATTGCTACTGTGTGGAAATACAATTGATACGCCCCCATTTGCTTTTTTTCTTTAAAAAAAAAAGCCATAGGGTCTAGCTGTGAAATCCAAGTTGGCCTCAAGCTTGTGGTTAATCCTCCTGCCTCTGCCTTTGCTTCTTGAGTGCTAGGATTATAGGCTTGTAGCCTGCTTTTTGGGAGCAAGGGGTGTTTTGAAATTGATTGTTGTGTAATCGATCTTACACAGCTCAACTTTGCTGAACTCATGTAAATAATAGTTCTAATGGCTTTTATTGGATTCTTTAGCATCAAATGACTTCCACTTTCATTTTTTGGGTTTTTGTTTGTTTGTTTGTTTGTTTGAGACAAGGTCTCACTATGTAGCCCTGACTATCCTGGAACTTGCTACATATTCCAGACTGGCCTCAAACTCACAGAAATCCCCTTGCCTCTGACTCTTGAGTGCTGGGATTAAAGTCAAGCACTGCCATGCTGGCCAACTTCCACTTTTAAACATGAAAAGAATGTGACTTTTTATGGTTGCTTTTTCTTTTTCTTTCCTTTTCTTTCTTTCTCTTCTTTCCCTTTTTTCTTTCTTATTTATTTATTTTTTAGACAGCTCCTCTTGTAGTCCAGACTAAACTCAAACTCACTGTGCAGGCGAGGCTAGCCATGAATTCCTGATCCTCACACCTCCACCTCCCAAATGGCTGGAATTACAGGCATGTACCACCAAACTCAATAGATTTTGTTGTGTTGGTATTGTGTGGTAAGGATTAACTTTACATGTATTAGGCAAGTGTTTTACCAGCAGCCACAATTCCCAGGCCAACTCCTCACCCTTTCCTTTTTGGAGGTGGTTTGGGCAGGATCTGATATTGTCCCTGCCGCTCTATAATAAGCTGGCTACCCTATAATAAGCTAGGTAGCCCAGGATGACCCTGACTTTTTGATCTTCCTGTCTCCACATCTTAAGTCCTGGAATTATAGATGTGCACCACCACACACCACTCTCCAATTTATTTTTATTAAGATAAATGCAAATCCAAACTACCATGGGATGTGAAAAACTAACCTAGCCATTAACAAAGAACCGACGTTTTGATAGCGTTGTACAGGTATCTATTAAAACAAATAGAAGCTCCACTTCCTGTTGTGTTCCAGTGTCGGTAAAGACAGCATGGGCCATGGGCAATTACGATGTCCACACAAGATTTTTCTTTAATATGTTCAATCTATTCACACAAACATTCCTTACAATGCCATGCTAATAGAAAGCTAGCAGACAACTCACCAAGCCAGGACAGTTGATTGGGCAGAAAATGCTGTTATGGGTCTCCACAGGGGAATCTGTGAGAGCTAACCTTATGTTTTAGGTTTAAATGACTGTGCTTAAGAGATGTAAAAACCAGAAATGCCTCTAAGCTGTAAGCCCCACTTGCCCAAGGAAGATGACTTCTTAGAATGCTGGGGGCTAATGTTCATATAGGATAACAAACCAACCGTTTTTGCTCTTGTAAAGAATCTTGGTTGTCCCAACTGCACAGGACGTTCTTGGCCACATGTAGATAGAAGGTACGTTCAAGACCAGCCTGGTCTACAAGAGCTAGTTCCAGGACAGGCTCCAAAGCCACAGAGAAACCCTGTCTCGAAAAACAAACAAAAAAAACTTTCTAAAACTTTTGCTAAGATACCTTATGTCCAGTTTTGTAAGACTATTATATGAACTTTCTATATCTCAAGATTTGTAAGTTTATTGGGTATGGCTAAAAATCTGCAAAATCTGTAACAAAAAAGTTAAGATTGATAACACAGGGGATTGATGGTTAAAAATCTATACATAGGTAACCTTTTTTTCCTTCACTTTTGGTTTTTCAAGACAGGGTTTCTCTGTGGCTTTGGCGTCTGTCCTGGTACCAGTTCTTGTAGACAAGGCTGGTCTCGAACCCAAAGAGATCTGCCTGCCTCTGCCTCCCAAGTACTGGGATTAAAGGCTTGTGCCACCAACACCCTGGTTACATAGGTAATCTTAAAGGAACCATGTGATGTAATGCCATATTGGGATATAAGCACCACATGACTTGCTGCTATCTTAGGTGATGATTCCCATCTGGATGGAAGCAAGAATGTGGCTGCCAGCCATCTTTACTAAGGTTAGAGGGGGGTAAGTGCCATGTGACTTCACCACCATCTTGATTAATGGTGACCACATTGTATAAATCAACCAAGGAGGCAATAGCAGGACTCCAAGATATTTTAAATTAGGATAGATCTTTGTATAATTCCTGTACTAAAAGCAGTCATAAAAACAAGGTTTATGAAAGATAAGATTTTAAAACAATGCTTGTTTAATAAGGTGTTACAGCTGCACCTCCATGAATTCATAGACAAGAATGTATCTCATACTGGCAACTGAACTTTGTAATGTAAGAGTCCGTCTTGGGATATCTTATCATACTGTGTGAATATGTGCCTAAAGGTACCCTATGATTGGTTTAGTAAAGAGTTGGATGGTCAATAGCCAGGCAAGAGAGGAGAGGCAGGACTTCCAGGCAGAGATAGGAACTCTGGGAAGAACCTGAGAAGCAGGGGATTTGCCAGAGAGATGTGAAGTCAGACACATGGTACTGAGGTGAGGTAACAAGCCATGTGGCAGAACACAGATTAATATAAATGGGTCAGTTTACATTTCAAGAGGCCTAAGCCAAGGCTAAGCTTTCATAATTGGCAAGACATCTCTGTGTTATTATTTGGGAGCTGGCAGTCCAAAGAAAGACTTGCTACAAGAGTCATCAGGTAGTATTGATTTCAAAGGCAGGAAGGGGTCATGAAGAACATGGGAAGCTCGGCACTGTGTGGATGGTCTCTCTGAAAGACAACCCCAGAAGAGGACGCTCAGCAGTTTTAGAGATGCTGGTGCCACATGATGGCCTCCAGGAACGACAGACACAATGAAATGGACCAGGCTGGGGCCTGGAAGACAGGTAGTGTGAGCTGTGGAGGGCCGGGCCAGAGAGGTGACCTGAGCCTCCTGGGAAAGCCCACAGGACCTCGAGTGAATCTCAGACGTTGAGCACTGAGTTGTTTGCCCTGCTGGATGTCGGTTTTGTCTTGTTCAGACTGCGGCTGTGCACAGTTTACTCCCTCTTGAAGTAAAAAAGGTACTTAATTTAAATTTTGATATTGGAGGAGCCAACATATTAGAGACTTTAAACTTTTTTTAAAAATAATTTTACAGTTTTACAAAAATTTTAATTCAAAAACTGTATATTTTATTTAAATATTTAAACTTATAAGGCTATGAAACACTTATAGTTTACAAAATGTTTTAGATTATTATGTCTTAAGTGGTAAACTTAAAAAATAAATGAAAGGCTAAAGAGTTTGGTCGCAGCTATGAACACCAAATACTAAATGCCAGAAACTGTTAAGACATACTATGAAAAGACCAGGAAAGTAAACTTCCCCATCTCCCTATAGACTATATTTATGTTTTAAGGTTTAATTTTGATACTAAAAGAGCTTCAGTTCAAAAATTTCTATTGACAGAGGTTTTTGTCCTGCCCGATCCCATAGCTATTTTGTCCCGAATAAAAAACAGAGACTTATGTTAACTATATAAACTGTTTGGCTGATGGCTCATGCTTCTTATTGGCTATCTCTCTCTTAATTATTAACCCATTTCTATTAATTTGTGTATCTTCACATGGCCTTGGCTTACCAGGAATGCTCAGACCTCTCGCTCCCTCGGCAGCTGCTTGGTGTCTCCCTTGCCACTCACCCCCTGCGTTCCTCTTCTCGGTATTCTCCTCATCTGGTAGCCCTGCCTATACTCCCTGCCGGGCTGCATCCTGCCTGTCCATTGGCCAAAACAGTTTTACTCATCAACCAATAAGAGAAACATATGTTCACAGCATACAGAAAGACATCCCCCATCAAATTGCTAATTTTTTAAAGCTACTAACTTATTATAAACTGTTAAAGATGATGAAGACATGCAAGCTAACAGTCAGTCATCTCATAAAGCATCAAGGTCTTTAATATTCTCAGAATTATACTTGTAGTCACCCTAAGTACTAATGTAAATAATTATGCGAATAAGCTTTATTTAGCCTCCTGCATGCTTTCAAGATTATGGCTAAAGTAAACAACAAAAAAACAAGTGAAGTTTGTTCAAGATCAGGTATACTTGGTATGTGGTCCTGAAAACTTTTCAGAGATCTGCTGAATATGGCATTTAAAGTGTTTAACGGAAACATCTTCCATTGATTGACAGAAATGTCATGTCCTTCCTGGAGGCAACCCTAAGGTCTCCAAAGAAGACAGACGGGGCGCAGACCTGGATTGTGGCGATGCTAACCACTGGAAATGACTGCCCCATGCCTTGCCTGCTTCCAGGGCAGTGGACAAACTGTGGACACTGTTGGGTTGACTGCCCTACTCTGCTTAAGTCAAGGTAGGCCAATTTGCCCAGGTTCCACCTCCACAGGAAAACCTCTCAGGCCTTCTGGGTCTGGCAGCTGAAGGCTGAATTGCAGCTGAAGATGCAATGCTATCTGTCCTGCCTACCAGATGAAAACCTATGGCCTTTGCCCTGCAACGAAGCCATCAAGACCATAGGATCCTATTAGGGTAACCAATCATGTAGCTGGCAAGTCAACCATTTTAACTGATACAGAGACCATTTTGTTGTTGTTGTTGTTGTTTTGTTTGTTTATTTGGTTGGGTTTTTTCTGCTATAATTTATCCTTCTCAGATCTCTGATAGAGTTGGTGGCAAACTCTTTGTCAGTTTGGCAGTAGAAGGCACTCGGCTCCTACCTAAGGCTGTGGTTACCCTGTTAGTTCATTTCATATGTAATAATCAGGGCTTGCCTTTTCTAGAGTGACAAGGTCTTCTGCTGAGACCTCCCGAAAGTGTGCCTGGCTAATAGGAGTCATATTAAAGGATAAACACATTTCAGGTGTGACTTTTTACGATTTCTTTATTTAAAGGAACTTGCTTTGCAATGGCTGCTCTCCATAATCAACCGCCTGTGTCTCATGGTAAAGATATGAGAAAGTGACTTAAGGTAATAAAAAGTGCTTCAGATTTCTTCCGCCCCCCCATGATATTGTTATACTAAGATTCCAAAAGTCCATTAATCAATGGAGTTCTGATAAGCTATTAATCTAGCCCTGGCAAAGCACTGGCTACATCATAATCAAATACCCAAAAGTTCAAATTTCCTTTGGTTCTCTTCTGAGTGTAAATGTAAAGGTGCTTCTTGTTGGGCTAAAACATCTCTGTCTATCTATATATCCAGCCCTGTGGCTAGAGAAAACAATTTTCACACTTTTAAGCCCCAAACCACAGACTTTGCTATGACTCGAAGGCTTGAGTCTACTCTAGCTGATTTACAGACACCTGTTAGCTGCCTTTCCTGCAATGTGGATTTAAGCACAGATTAGAAACAGCGGTAATGATCATCTACTTGAAAATTCTATCTCTTTTTGTAAACTAAAATATCCATGCAAATTTCAAGAACTCAAGGTAGTTGTAAGACTCGGGTCCACCTTTCACAGGTGAACAGCCTAAGTTACCCACCTGCCTCTTCTTAAGGGTGGGATCTCTCCCAGCTTGGGACTCCTCCCCTCCCCCAATTATCAGAACTGTGGGCCCGGAAGCTCTGAAATGTAAGGTTTCCTTTAAGTTCCTCATCTTTAACTTCTGTCCTTCTCTCTGGAACCATGACAGACACCATCCAGGAGATAGCCGCAGACTACAAACTGCTGCAAACTGCTGTGAACCCTGGACTTGCTGAAAGCTGATGTGGACCAGTCCAGCTGATGTGAGTGGTCCCTGGCTGTATGGAGCATATAAACGGACAGGGAGAAGCCTGGCTGGAAGGGGATTAGGAAAGTGAGCATAGGCCAATTACCCGACTACCAGAGCTAAGAATGAAGGAGAGTGTGCACGTGTGGCAGAGTATGATAAGCGAGGTATTTAATGACCAGCTCAGGACCGAGAAGCAGAGCTCACCATGACTGTATAAAGGACACGTCCTGGAACTCTCCTCTGCCTGAGAAGCCAGTCCACTAAGCTGAGAGCTGCCCTATCTGATACCAGACACCAAAGACTGGAGACCTTGGTGGACTCGAAGCTTGAATTCAGAGGAATCTTAAGGTTGTGAGCCTAGTGGCTATGGTCCCTAGGACTTAGCTCTTGTGTGTGTATATTGCTCCGATATAAGTATAAAGTAAAATACTTACTCAAAACCAACTTACTGAGTCTGTCATCATTCTTCCTGGGTTAAAACATGGTAAGTGCTTGTGACATTGGCCCTTCAGCTGGGTCAGTGAACCAGATGCTTCTGATGAACCATTCCCAAATCCCCTCCTGACTTTTGACTAGCATTCCAGCCCTTCTGGGCCCTGACAATGATGCCCTAATTTTAGTAGGAAGTAGTTACAGAAAAGAGTACATTGACCTGTATCCTCAACAAAAGCTAGAATGTTTGATCCAAAGGAAACTTCCTGGCAAAGGGGAGAAAATGACTACCTAGAGTGCCCATTGACATACCAGGACTCATGCTGGTCTCCAGGATCATTATCAGAAAGGTAACTGTTAAAGATCAAATAGATCAGATCTATCAACAGGTAGATTCATTAGCTGAAGTAGTTCTATCGCATGATATAGACCTTGCCCTGCTCTTTGCAGAACAAGGAGGTTATTGTGTGGTTTGAAAAAAATTACCATTTCTGTGTAAACCATCTGGGAATCATTAGAAATACTCTGGTTGTACTAAAAAAATGCGAAGATGGGGACCCGAGATGAAGTAAATGACTGGTTTCCATTCTCACTTTCAGATTCCTCCTGGATTCTTATGGTCTCCATTCTCACTTTCAGATTCCTCTGATGGGACTTTGACACTTCTGTTTTTGCTAATTACCATTGGCCTTTGCTTCATTTAATGCCTTAGCTGGATACATACATTCCTATCTGGGTGCATTAAGCTGATGATTATTAGGTCCCACTATAAACAGGGTCCTACCACAAAGTCAAGGATTTGACTCAGGATACAACTCAAGAGGCTGGGGGTGTGAAGGCTAAAGTTATATTTTAGTTTTAAATGACTGTGCTTAAGAGATCTATAAAACAAAACTACCTCTAACCTGTAAGCCCCACTTGCTCAAGGACAGGTAAATTCCTGGAACACTGGGGGGGGGGCGTTGTTCATATAAAATAACAAGTCACATGTTTTCTCTTCTGTAAACAAGGTTCCTTGTCCCAACTGCACAGGGTGTGCTTGATCACATGTGGGCAGGATGTATGCTTACCCCTTATTGGACAAAGGAGGGAAGTATATAACCTTGTGGGTCTTGCTTTTAGAAGCTCCTATCTAATATAACTTGGCACCATTCTCTGGGAATTCTGGGTGTGGACCTGGCCAATATCCAGGAACCTGGCTAGTATTTAATAAAGCTTGCTTCAAATTTGACTCAAAAGTTTGTGGCAGTGGTCTCACTCTCACCTAGTGGCATTTACGAATCTTCTCTGGTGAGAGTCTCTCAGAAGTCTACAGACTTGGCCTATGTCTGCTGCGACACCCTTGAGCTGTGGCAGGTGGTAGCTTTGTGCTATAAGGGTTCACGGCATTGGGTTGATTAACTAACTAGCATACCATTGCCACCTTTAGGTTAATTCCTTGACTCCATTTGCTGACTTCTAAGCCTGATATAGGATGTCTTATATTTGTGTGTGTGTGTGTGTGTGTGTGTGTGTGTGTGTGTGTGTGTGCATGATGTCAAAAGTTAACCCTGGGTGTCATTCCTCTGGAGAGCCATCCACATTATTGTTTGCGACATAGTTTCTTCCTGGGACCTGGGGCTTGCCAATTAGGCTGGATTGACTGGCTAGGAAACCCCAGGGATCCATCCTCCTGTCTCTCCTTCTCCAGCCCTAGAACTATAAGCCTGTGCCACCACGCCCAGATTTTTGTACATGGATGCTAGGAATTGAACTTGGGTCCTCATTTTATCATCCCAACTAGCTCCTAAATCCCTTTTTCTTCATCTCAACCCAGTTGGTGGAGGGTAAGAAAGGAGGTAAGGAGGGAGAAGAGAGAACATAGTGGAAATTGCAGTAAAAAGAGACTGAGTAGCTGGGAGTAAGGGAAGCCCTTGAGCTGGAGAAGTTTAGGGTAGGGGAGGAGGATTTTGAAATGTGTAACAGGTAATTGTGATACTGAGGGAGCCTGGAGGCCACCATGTGCTTTGGTGTACTAATAGACACCTCAGATAACCAAGTGTCCCTATTGTCTTTTGGAATTTGGGGAAATGGAGTTTCTTTTGGGACACACACACACACACACACACACACACACACACACACACCAATAGTCACTGAGAACAGAAACACGAGGGTGTTGTTGTGTACTGGGTGAAGAATGATCTACAACAGTCATACTTTCTCTTTTGAATGACTTTGTTAGGCATATAACAAGCTGAAGCAAGAGAGTAAATAATAAGAGCTAGGGAGATAGATAGGTAGACAGACAAATTGGGTGTTAAAAACACCCAACAGAAATCAACTGAGGAATCGCATTGAGATTGCCAGCTAGATTTCACAATAGAGAATCCCCAGGCAGAGTGCAGTGTCCCCTCAGGGAAGCTTCCAAGTAAAAGAACAAACAGCACTGGACAGAGATAGCATCAAACTGTGTGCTCAGAACTCAAGGTGGAAGCTGCCTAGGGAAGCTGAGGCAATCAGCTGGAGTTTCTAATTGAGTTTTCCCCTCCATGGCTGGCCTTCCCAGCTGTGAACTTCTTGCTTTTTTTCTTTTCTTTTCTTTTTTCCACTGCCTGTACTTTTGTATCATGGGATAAACAATAGCAACCTCTGTTGGATGGTTCACTTTTTATCTGTTCTCAAGGACATGATGTTTTTAGTCTTGAGCTGTTTTGCAGTTCTTTCTGGGCTTGGCCAGCCCACCCCTAGACAAGTGGCCTTGGAGGATGCTTTTAGTCAAACAAGCTTAAAAGTCTGGAATGGTGAGCTCAGTGAGCAGAAACAGCACACGGCAATGGCCATGCCCACCAGCTTGTAGATGGGTGCTGAGGATTCGAACCGTGGTCCTCATGCTTGCACAGCATTTTAGCCGCCGAGCCATCTCGGTAACCATCTAAATATCTGAAGCTTGACGCAACTCCTTCAAAGTGAAAAAGAAGAATTACCCCACCCCACCCTCAATGTCCGCTCTATGGCCTAACACCCACAGGTGTTAGGAATTCCCATAGTCCTCTGTGACAAATAGGGTTGATTCCTAACTGCTGTCTAGGGAGTCGCCTGGCAGTGAAATAGATCTCATCCCTGCCCTTTGGCCTTTATCATGGGGCGGAGGCCCAGGATATCGAAAAGCAAACAAACCAACACTGGTTTAACGGATGGGATCGCTGCCATCAATACAGGTGAGAGGAGTGGAGAGGACGATCCATTCATGCGCCAGCTTCTCTGAGGAAAATACTTAGACGCATTTATTTGTCTGCTTGTGCAGGGAGTAACCCAAAGGGTGGTGGCCCTATACCAGGGGACATGGGAAGCCAGCTAGGTGGTGGAAAGGGCTGATCGCACTATCGCTCTGCATATGTTAAAAGTTCTCCACACAGTAAACATTCCCTACCACCATGGGACATTCCCAGAACACAGCATAGACATGTTTGAGCATGCACACTTAGGGTCCCCTCCTGGGGATGGTGCCTCCAGATCTGTGGTTCACTTGATATGTTTGGCCAGGATGTGGAAGGGCTGTGGCTCTCTTTATTCAGCAGTGATGTTGGTAGGTGTCTTAGTTGGGGCTTCTATTGCTGTGAAGATACACCGTGACAATGTCGACTCTTATAAAGGAAAACATTTAATTGGGGCTGGTTTATAGTTAGAGGTTTAGTCCCTTATTTTCACGGCAGGAAGCATGGCAGCAGGCAGGCAGACATGGTGCTGGAGAAGGAGCTGAGAGTTCTACATATTGATCTGTAGGCAGCAGGAAGAGAATTGAGTCACTAGGCCTGGCTTGAGCTTCTGAGACCTCAAAGCCCACCCCCAGCGACACACTTCCTCCAACAAAGCCACACCCACTCCAAAAAGGCCACACCTCCTGAGTGCCACTTCCTAGTGACCAAGCATTCAACTACATGAGTCTATAGGGGGTGCATTCCTATTCAAACCATCACAGGAGGAAAGCCTGAAGGGGTTGGGAACTGTATCTTGTGTCTGCAGTGTCGGAAAGAAACCAGGTACTCAGACGACCACGCCCACCTGGGCGTGGTCATGGGTGCGTGGGATGATTCAGGAGATAAAAGAAAGAACAGGTGGGCCCACACTCTCTCTCGGATGCTGGCTGTACTTCGGAGGGCAGAGCGCTTCCTGTGTAAGTGATTGCTCCTTTTAATAAATATCCTTGTCTCCCCGGTGCATTGTTTCCACATCTCTGCAGAATCTCTAGTTGCCAGATATTAATCTATGACAGAAAATGACTGTGTTGGGCTGGGGATGTGGTTCAGTGTGTGAACTACATGCATGAAATGCTGGGTCCACTCCAGCACCGCACACACCAGGTGTGATGGACCACACCTGCAATCCAGTTCCCACCATAGCCCAAACTGCTAGCAAGCACAATGGGAAAGAAAGTTCACTTGGTTTTTATTCTGAGGCAGGTGGAGGCTGTGTCTTCTTCCTATAGGCTGGGGTCTGGTCTCACAGTCTTTCATGACCAGCTGGCTTTAAAACAATTAGCACAAAGACTATGAAGGAAATGGGAGGGACCAGTATATTCCAGGAATATAGCAGGCCTAAAACAAATTCTACAAGATGGGAGATTTATGGAATTTTGGCCTTGGTCATTCTCTAGGTTCTCAGCAAGCAGGAGCCAGAGGAGGCTCCATTTCCCTCCCATGCCCCTTTCTATGCTCCCCCCTTATTTTCATCTTGCCTCTGCCTCTGTGGGATATGCCTGGGGGTCTGTTTTTAAAATTAAGGAATCCATCTACAGGTCCTAACTGGTCTTCAGTGGTCATCAATGAACCCTTTAGTTACCCAGTTTTTGCCCCCTTTGATTGGAAATGTGGATCAAGATAAACTGAGTAGCAGAGACTTTCTCCCAAACCAACTTTTCAACCTTTGGATGACAGACTAGTAAAGAGAGGAATACCTGTATCTTTTCTGGAAATGGATGGAGATTTTCCTAGCATGCCCAACCTGTTCTCTTATCTCCTTGTAGTTCCTTCCTTGTGGCCATGGCAATTGATGACTATCGTGGCTTTGGAGGTATGCTGTTTGCATGCAGATGGAGTTACAATGAAGTTAGAAGTTGTACAATGTCATCCTGGTAGTCATCTTAGACTGACACTAGTTTCAGCCAGCTTACTTGAAGGACTTTGGGCTCATGTGTGTCCTGTTCTCAAGGACATACAAGGTCAGGGCTGGCTGGTGTCCTTGTCAACTGACAGATTCTGAGGTCTTGGGGATGGGACTCTGAGCATGTCCCTGGGGGCATTATCTTAACTGGGGCAGGAAGATCTGCCCTTTATGGGTGGTACCATTTCTTGGTTGGTCATTTCCCTCTAATCTTGACTGTGACTAGCAGCTTCCGGTCCCTTCACTGACTTCCCCATCTCAATGGAACTGTACCTCAAACTGTGAACCAAAACAAACCCTTACTTTCTTCAGCTGCTCTTGTTGGAATAGTTTATCACAGCAACAGAAAAGTAAGTAAGGCAGCTGGGGGACACCCAGGGTTAGCACCTTCTCTCAGGAGAGTTTTGATCTGATAGCGGAGACATGGCAGAGGACAGAAACAAGAGTGCTTTCAGGAAAAGAACTGGGAGACTGAGGTCACAGAGGCTGTTATTCCCAGTGGATGAGAATAAGTCCACTACCACAATTTCTGAGTCAAATTTGAAGCAGGCTTTATTAAATATTGTCCAGGACAATGGAGACTGTTTTATAATCTCTTAAGCACAGTAATTTAAACCTAAAACACAACTTTAGCTATCACAAGGCCTTAGGCACACATCCTAACCTCCTCCAGCATCCTATGACACCAAGTGTGACAGGTATCAGGAGAGGATTCTGCTAGGGCTGGTTATGCCCAATTATGTTTGACCCCAACTTTCTTCTACTGTGGACTTCTGAGATTTTTGATCATCTAGACAGGTTATGGTGGCCCAATGACTTCCACCCGGACCCCATGGTGCCCTTGTAAAGAGTGTTAGAGAAACTCTTAGTTGCTTTGGTGAAGCAGCTCTGTTGATAGAGATTACCTAGCATTTGTGATGTTCTGGGATGCATCCCCAGTAGTGAATACACTTGGTGTGGTATTGTACACCTGTGACCCCAACTCTCTGAGGACAGAAGCATCTGCAATGGAAGTTCTAGGTCTGCCTTGGCTACATAAGGAGTTGGAGACACAGCCTTGACTGTGAGACTCTATGTCAAAAAAAGCAATCAAGCAAGCAGCCTATGAGAACACAGAGGTTCCAGAACCAAGCACTGCTCTCAACCAAAGTTGGCTTAGCATACCTGGCCCCACCATATGTCCAGGTTATACTTGTGGCTAGAGAAAAGGCAATGCCATACCTTAGTGATTCAGAATCCACATTTGTCTTACAGAGCTTGGTGTGCTCAGTTAGTGATCTGCAATCTGTGGAAGCTCAATGGGGGAGTGGCTGACATTCGCTTGCAAACAGGGCATACTCATGTTAGGTTACACCTTGTCTCCACATTAAGGTAGGGTGCAGTTGACAATTTTGGAGGCTGCTTTAAGCCAAACTTTCTTTTATCCTTAGTATTGAGGTAGGTGTAGGCCAAGCCTAGTTTAGGAAGAGTGTATTGGTTGTGGCTCTAAGAATGCAGTCCCTAGTACTGTGCAGGCTCAACAGAACTATCTCTGTTCTTGGGAGATCACAGTCATATCATGATCCTCTAGTGAGAGGGGCCTGACCAGCAGATCAGTGAATCTATAGTTGCTGGTGCCAGTCTGGAGCTAGCAGGAACTACTTTAAGTCGTCATGTAACAGTGAGAATCCTTGTTAATCGGTGAAACAGCCTAGAACTGCTGCCAGCCGCCCAAGGAGTTCACTTATCCTTAACGAGGCCCTTAGGAACATAATGCAGGATCCCGACTTCAATGCAGAAAGAATTTTAAGAAGAGCCAGTTGGAAGCAAAAGTCAGAGTTTATTAGATTTTTATTTTTTTATTTTTTTTGGTTTTTCGAGACAGGGTTTCTCTGTGGCTTTGGAGGCTGTCCTGGAACTCGCTCTGTAGACCAGGCTGGTCTCGAACTCACAAAGGTCTGCCTGTCTCTGCCTCCCGAGTGCTGGGATTAAAGACGTGCGCCACCAACGCCCGGCCAGTTTATTAGATTTTTAATATAACAGGTGTGATGGTCAGATGACAACCCTAGGAAGCTGTTTTTCTCTTTTCAACATGTGGGTTCCATATCAAACTCAGGCTGCCTCCACCTCCTGAGTGCCACCATTACCCAGCGAAAGTCCAGTTTGAGTTGGATGTGGTGGTATATGCTTGTTATCCCAGCTCTTGGGAGGTGGAGGCAGGTGGAGGAGGAAGGAGTTCAAGATGGCCTTTGGCTACATAAAAAAAAGTTCAGACCAGCCTGCTATACAAGACCTTGTTTCAAAAAACAATCCCTATCCCCAGATCCAACTTAGGCATTCACAGTTCTAAGGTGTGGCTTATGTACTTTCAACAATTTGCTGGAGACAATCAGTAGAGGCGAATTTAAACCACGGGTTGACCGGCTTGGAAGGTTTGGTTGGCCAGTATTGAGGGGGAGTGTCTGCTAGTGGCCTCAGGTGGGTAGAAGCCATGGATGACGCCAAACACCCTACAGAACACAGGGCAATCATCCTTAAAACCCAGTCACCCAGCCAGGCACTGGAGAGGCTTAAGTTAAAGGCCTGCCTGGGCTTAGCTAACACATTCTAGGTCAGCTAGACAGTGAAACACTGCTTCAAGCAAAACAACCCAAAACTCTATTCCTCCCAATCACCAGGTCCAAATGTCAATACTGCTAGGCAGATGTGATGTCTACTCCTGGTTGTCAACTTGGCTGCATCTGGAACTAACTGCAACAACCCAAAAAGTAACTGGGCACACCCATGAGGGATTTTTGCTTAATTAAATCATTTGATACAGATCTCTGAGGTGAGAAGATACAACTTTAAGCCCGATCTTTTGAGGTAGGGAGATAAACCTTTAATCTGGGGCATACCTGCTGGCAGCCTGTTTAAGGGACATGGAGGAAGGAAGCTTGCTGTCTTTGCCTGCCTGGTCTTCTTTCACTAGCGAGTCCATTGCTTCACTGACATTAGACCCTACTTCTTTGGGATTCCAGTGTATGCTGAAGGCCAGCTGACACATGCAGCCTTGTGGACTGAACAACCACTGGACTGTTAGACTAGCTGGACCAGCCTGCAAGCTATTCTCTCTCTCTCTCTCTCTCTCTCTCTCTCTCTCTCTCTCTCTCTCTCTCTCTCCCTCCCTCCCTCCCTCCCTCCCTCCCTCCCTCCCTCTCACACACACACACACACACACACACACTGTATGCGGCTACACAGAGAGCCCTAACACAGCAGAGAAACCCAGGCATTTCACCAACGAAGAGGAAGTGTTCCAGACTACCACTCCAGCCTCCTTCCCATCGCACTCTTTCTTGTTCCTGTCAGCCTCCACTATCAAACATTAACCACCACCAACAAAAGCTAATCATCTCCCAATGCTCACGAGGCTGGCTGTGTCTTTACTGAAATTAGCCATCGCTTTGGTCGGTTGGCAATGTTGCTTCCGCCAAGAGTGTCATCAGAGACTTTAATTTGAGCAGGCACATATCAATCTTATTTTGAAAAAAGAAAAAGATGCGGAAAGAGCACCGTGAACTAACAAACATGCTGCAGGTTTGGAGTGCGCAGAGGGCTTTCCAATAACGTCTTGTAATTCGACCTGACAAGCCTCTGGCAGGAGGCTTATTACAATGCGGCAGTGCTGTAGCACTCGAGGAATCGGGTCGGTGACCGACTGGGCTAGGGGAGGTTAGGAGCTTGCCAGGCTGGATGAGATCCGGGCGAAACCACCAGGTCCGGGACTCGACTCACCCCTTCCCCTCGCCTCGCCCCCAAACCAAATCATTCTGGATGTTTCCTGTCTCTCTCTTTCTGCACACAGACCAGCAGATCCTCAAAAGGCGTCTTAACTGGAACCGAAGCCGCACGGATTTACTTGCGACCGTGCGAAGTCTTGGCTTGCAACCTCGCGCGCGAGGAGCTGGGGGTGACTTCTAGGACAGTGGCTGCAGATAAGCCAGGCCAGGTGTTTGCAGCAGGTGCCGTCAGCAGGTGCTCGCAGGAGGCTGTGGGCTCTGCTGCTGAGCCGAGCTTCCCGGCCGCTGCGCAGTGCGGCGAGCAGCAAGGCGGTGTGTCTCCGAGGGAGCTTAGGGAGACCATCCATATTTTTAAAGGGCTCGCGTCCTGCAGCCGAAAGCTGCCGCTCTGCAGGGTCGAGAGCGCACCTGCGCTGCGCACGATCACGTGACGCAGCCCCATCCATCTCCGCAGCTAGCCTGGCCCGGAGACAGCGGATGTAACGTCCCAGGACAAAGAGGCAGAATACTTCCTGAAACCCGTCCTCCCGTGCAAGTGCAAATGCCGGCGCGGTGGCGCCCGCGGCTCGCCGTTCGCCTTCCTGACCTCGCTGCGCTCCTTGGGGAGCCCGGGCCCGCGCAAGGCCAGCGGTTTCCCAGCCCGCACCTGGCGTCCACGGGTGCGCGCCCCACCCTCCAGGTGAGCAGCGCCAGGCCCCGCCCTCGCCTCAAGACTCCGCCTCCGATCCGCGCCTGCGCAGTACGTCCGGCGGCGCCGGGCGCCGGGGCGGCGCGGCCGTCGCAGTTCGGCGGGCGCAGTGCGCGTGCGCCGTGGCGGCCGGGGGGCGGGCGGCGGCCGCGGCGAGGAGCGGGGGTGGGGAGGCGCCGTCTGGCTCGGGCTGGGCCGGCGGGGAGCACAGCGAGCCACGGCGGCCCCGTGGGCGGCCTCGGCGGCCGGCAGGTGAGACTCGCGTGGGACCTGGCGCAGGACTGTGAGGGGAGAGCGTTGAGGGGGGGCCTGGCGGCGCGCGGACCCAGGTGAGCGCAGCCCGCGGGCCCCGGGCGCATTGTCCGCGGGCGGCGCCCCTTAGCGCCCCCTGCCGGCCGGGCTTGGTGGGGCCGGGGCGCGGCGAGCCGGGGCCGGGGCGTGCGCGAGTTCCTTTGTTCGTCGCCCCCGCCCGATCCCCGCCGCCCCCGCCAACATGGCGTTCGCGGGGTCCCTGCCCCAGCCCCGCGACCGCTTCCCGCGCGCTTTGTTCCGCGCCGGGCGGGGGGCGGGGGCGGCGGCATTGCGTAACCGGGCGGGGGAGGGGCGTGGCGGGACCCCCGCGGCGGGTCACCCTGGTGACGCCCTGCCTGGGGGGCTAGGGGCGCGGGCCTGCGTGACCTTGGGTTTGCCTCCCGGAATGCGCCGGGATGGGAGTGCGGTGCGGGCACTGCGCAGCGCTGGGGGTCGCGGTCCCTGGTGGCTTCCTGCACGGATGGTGCGTTATGGGCCTTTCCGGGAGGAGGGGGTGTCGGGGTGAGAAATGGCTTCAGTCATCCACGTCGTTGCATGCGCATCACAAAGTTTGTTTACGCAATTGTTTTTATATCGATTTGGGTTTCTATAATCCGTGAATTGGGTTTCGGGTTTTGTAAGGGTTTTTCTGTTTGAAGTCTTACTCCTGGTTTAAAGGTTTATTTATCGTGTGCATCCAAAAGCCATACAAGGTACGTTTTAAGTGTGAAGGATTTCAGTGTGACTAGTGCGGAAGATGGGATCAGTACTGAAATGTTAATACCACAGTAACTTTCCTTGGAATTTTCTGGAAGAAACTGCAGCCTGAAAGGATTGATGGAGAGTAATTGCCTTCTGCATAGCTTTTGTTAGGCAGTGAAAATGAAACCCGGTCTTAGACGTTTTTACCTACACACCCTGAGTACACTTTTGAGGTGTTGAAATTTTGGAAAGATAGAGGAAGCTCATCCTTAGCCTTCCCTTTCACCCCTTTAGCCTTAGTTAATGCGAAAATTTAAAAAAAATGGTGACTGATTGACAGGATGTGTTCGTTATCAGATTTAATGATTGTGTATATTGCCTGGTGTTACAACAAGTAAAATGGAATCACCTTAGTCCCACTAAAATGTCAATGAAATGGGCCAAGCAAATGGACTTTCAGTCTAAATGTGTATGAAGTCTTTTGTATTCTAGGCTGGATTTGTATCCTGACTTAACCTGGAGTGCAAGCTGCATTATCATGAGGGGTCGTCTTTTTATATCTAGGATTAAGTGCCTTGTCTGTGTACTGCTTGTATGCTTGGTGTCCAAGGAGGCCAGGAGAGGGCTCTGATCTCCCGGGACTGGAGTTAGACAGTTGTGAGTGCCATGTGGGTGCTGGGAATCAAACCCTGGCCCTTTGGAAGAGTAGCCAGTGAGTGCTCTTAGCTCCCGAGCCCTGCTTAAGATTTTTTTAAAAATAGATTTTGCCTGATCTCTGGCACTTGAATAGTTAATCCCACGTTTAGTGTTGACAGGAGGTGGGCTCTGAGCCTTTCTGGGATAGTCAAGAGAGTAGTGTGAGGTTGCTGCCCTGCATTCCACATCTACTCCTCACACTTGGTCACCCCTGAATTACCTACAGTACTATCACCAGGCCTAGCAACAACAGGCATGTAACCCCGAGGGCTGGTAGAAGGGCTTGGAAATTCAAGGCCAGCTTGAGTAATTTAATTAAGATCCTGTTTCAAAGAGGCTGGAGGTAGAGCTCCTTGGTGGGGCAGGTCCTCTTCACCGCTGGACTCCAGGTTCAGCCCGGCGCCCCCCCCCCCCCCTACAGCAAAGTGACTCCCATCTGACTGCCTGGAAACAGTGCAGATTGTTTGAAGGAATGACGGCATTTCTTTCATGTTGTTGACCTGCCCCTCTCCCTGAGTGCCCCCAGTGGTGGGTAGAGAGGGGGCTGACTGTTGACATAGTGCCTTTAATTACCAGCTCTAAGCAGACCACAGTACAGAATGCCAGTAACACTTGGGGACGCAGTGTGCTTGAGGTGCCTGCCAGTCTCTGCTCTTCTGTGGGATGAGGTGCCCTGTCCTCTTCTTAGGGTCACAGTTCACATTTTCCTTTTGGGAAAAATACTGCCATGCCGCAGTGGGCTTGGACCTTCCTTTTATGGGACACAAAATGGCTGAAAACAAAAGACCAAGAGGATTGATGAGTTTAAAGTTACTTCCCCTGCGAAGTGAAAAACCGGAGAAGTTAATAGAGAAACTGCTAGTCCTGCATCAAATCACTTCAGGACAGGGTTTAGCAAGCGTTAGAACTGAGGGGACTTGATTGTTATGTGAATTGCTAGGGCCTGTTCTGAAGGTCAGATAACAACTTAGTTTTAGTTTGGCCAACATCAGTAGGAGTGACACCACTTTGATTTGTAACCTGGTCTGTTGGAGCCTAGTACAAGACTGAGCTAGACGACCATGGCCTCTGCTTAGTTTTGTCTGACTCTGTGTCGTGCCTCCCATCGCTTGGGAGTGGTGGTGTTGGGATTGGTGTGGTTTGTGGGTGGTTCAAAATTTCACCCTTACCATTTGAGAAGAGTTAGTCTCCTAGGAAGAATTTTTTTTGTAGAGTTTGACCTTTGGGGCACCTAACACAGTTGCACCTGAACTGTCATTAATTATTTCTATCATTTTTTCTAGTATGTTAGAAATCCATGGAGGGAGCCAGGCATGGCACATACTTGCATTCCCAGCACTAAGGGATGGAAGAGGCAGAGCATTAAAGTTTCAGGCAACACAGACCTATTGTTGAGTATTTAGAGGTTGGAAATAAATGTCTGCATGCCCATTAGTAGGATGTCAGTGTGCTAAGGAACACTTAAATACAAATATTTTCAGCTAAATGTTTATTCTTTCTCTATGTCTAAATGAGAAACTGCAAGATGCTGTTTTATCTAGCTGTTTTGTTCAGTTTGGAAGCCTGGTGTTGTGCAAAGCATTGCTTTGGAGTGGTGTGGCTGGAAGCCAGGACCTTCCCTGCTGTGTTGAACTCACCTCTGCAGTACTGGTCTGACACCTGGAGTGGAGTCAGACACCTGGAGTGGAGACTTTGAAGCCCTCCATTCCGTTCCTGAGCTGCAGACTGGGGGAGTCTATCTCAGTGTAGTTCCAGAAACGCAGCTGGCAAAGTCAGTGCTGATCTTTTCCCCTTCCTTCCCAGCTTTGCCACATTGACGAAGTAAACACCTTGCTTCAAAGTGTCTTAATATCGAGTCTAGAAGTCCTTATTGAGTGCCTAACTTAAAATAGCTTAAGTCAAAAACTGGAGAGACGGCTTAGCTGTTAAGAGCGCCTGCTACACTTTGCAGAGGACTCTTGTTTGGTTCCTAGCACCCATATGTGGCAGCTCAAAAGGGTTGTAGTTCCAGTTCCAGGGACTCCAATGCCTTCTCTTCTGGTTTCCATGGGCACTGCTTGCACATGGTGCGAATATACATACATATATACATACTTGCAAAACATCCATGAATATTAGCTAGAAATAAATCTTTAAAAAATAGTATTAAGTCCTTTCTGAGTCTTGTAGGACTTAAGTACATGATAAGTGCATGTCTTTACAATTTAATAGTTTTTAAAAAATAATTTATATTTTGCGTATGTTGGTGTTTTGCGTACATGTGTATCTTTGAGAGTGTCAGATCCCCTGGATTGGAATTACAGACAGTTATGGGCCACCATGTAGGTGCTGGGAATTGCTCCCAGGTCCTGTGGCAGAGCAGCCCATGCTTTTAACCTCTGAGCCACCGCTCCAGCCCCAGTCTGATGGGTTATTAGGAAGGAGCATGTGCTTAGTATTGAGCCCTTACATGCTCATGAATATCTAGGAGAAAGATGTGCTACCATAGGACCAAGGGTATTTAAGTAGGAAAGAAACAAAGTCCAAATGGTGGGTGGAGACAGAAAGAGCAGAGTTGACACTGGTAGGAGTTAATAGTCTTCAGTAGGAGAAATTTATCCATCTATTCAGGTTTTGAATTCCAGCTAAAAGTTAGAAGAGGTTACCTTTTACTCTGAGGAGGCTTAAGTAAGTACCTTATCAGTTCATTCCTTGTTTTTCTGTTAAATGTAGGTCTCTATCATTCTATTTACAATATGAACTCGGGAGTCAGATGTTAGGGTGAAACCCTGCTAGGTCAGAGCCCCCGAGAAGCCAGCAGAGCTTCTTTTTGCTGGAAACCCAACAAGAGAAGCATCTCAAACCAAACAGCCAATCTCTAAGTCCCTCTCTACTCTTTCCGGTGTATCTCCCTGTCCAGATTCCTGGCTTCTCCATCCTCTATGGCTAATTCTTGTCAACTAGTTGCTGGCTTGGCCATCTGACGTAAATATTATTAACACAGTCTCATGGAGTGTCACAGTGTGATCAAATATCCCGCAACAATTCTGGCATGTGGTAACTCCAGTGGACACTGAGATAGATCATCACCTGAGGTTTTGTGGGGCAGATTTATATGAGAATAAATTTGGGGCCAGATTTTGAATACTGTATTTCACATGAATATAGTTGTTATTTATTTGTAGTAGAATGTAGTTGTTATTATTTGAGACAGTGTCTCACTGTGCAGCCCTGGCTAACCTGGGACTTGCTGTCTAGACCTGGAACGCCTTGAATCCACAGGGATCTGCCTGCCTCTGCCTTGTAAGTGTTGGAATTAAAGGAACAAGCCTCTACGAGTTGCCAGGTGTTTGTTTATTAGGTCAGGAAGCAATCTTAACAGGGGACCAGGACTAGAGTTTGTGTTCTAGAGCAGTGTGGAAGGTGGGTTGACCTTAGAAAAGTGGTGAAGCCAGCTGAGGTCAGGACTCTCGCATCACGTTCATGTTATGCTAAAAGGAGATGCATGGCCTTAGCTACATTTTGGCAGAGTAAGTGGGAAACTAAAGGTTATTTTTCTAAGTGCTGAGGATCAGTTTGGTGTT